GTTGTAGATAAATGAGACAAATAAATAAGGTCTTATGATTTATACATGTCAGATATTTAAAGAGGCCCTATAGTAGTTCAGGAAGACAGTTTAAGGTATTGTTCCCTGAGTTTTTGAGGTAACCCCATATATAAATTCACAGATTCCAAGATTTGAGAGAGAGAAAAACCCACATAGTTTGTTTCTCTCTCTTCCGAGAGTAGCTGTTTACTCCAAAGTGGTTTCTTTCAGTGTTTTCCCTACAGTTCAAGTGCTTTAAAATGCGGCTTTATAAACCATTTCTTAGAAGACAAGCTCCCAAATGGAAAAAAAGGCTGTTCAAAGAAAGCAAAGCTTTAAAATTAGCTAACAGTGCAGTTGAGTCAATCAGTTTTGTATCTGTAACACAGCAAGAGTGGTAATACTGTCTTAGATGTTGGAAGTCGAGTTCTGTGGACTCAGACTTTTCTGACTTCAGTGGATAAACATGAGCTCGGCTTCCTCATCAAACACAAGTCTGCCCATTAATTCAAAGAACCAAAACTACTAGAAACAGAATGACTTTTCCAGTATTTATATGTGCAGAACACCTAAATTTGGTTTTAAAATAAATAAAGTTCAAAATAACTATTCTATTTGGATTTGAATATCTTGAATTTACATACAGATTTGTACACAATAATAGTTTTTAAAACTTATTCAAAACTGGGATTTTAAGGTTCTTGAATTATTTTCATATATTTGCCTTCTTAGCATTAGTAAAATATTTTAAAAAATTAAATAGAAAGTTTAAGAATAATTTACAGAGTGAAATACATGAATATTTGTCCAAAACTTCTGCATGGGTCTATTTAGAAAAACTAATTACAATGAATGGAGATGCCAATCCTCTGCTGGCAGTTTTAGGTTAGGCTTAATTTTAAGCTATCAAAGGTCTTTAAAAAAAAAAAAAAGAAAGAAAGAAAGAAAGAAGAAAAGGAAAGGTTATAAGAATCTACTGAATATTCCATCCATTTTGATAAAGTGCACAAATATTCTTTGGCTTGGCTATGACCTCAGAGGAGGTATAGAAGTCAATGGCGCTGGTGTCAGATTCCTGACTATGTCACTGAGACTGGCAATCTTCGCTTCTAGGAGGTAATTCTTCTTCTCTGCTGTTTTCTGTCGCTGTTCAGTCATTTCCAGAGCTTTCAACAATTGGGCATTTTCAACATACAAATCCTTCACCATCTCATCTGCTTTACTGTTCTTGCAGAGCTAGAAACAGAACCAGAAACATCTTGACTCCATTTCTGTAATTCTGGTTTTAAGTTTAAGGTCTGATACAAAGACAGTTGCTTATAAAGGCAAATGGTTTCTATCAATTATATTCTTTTATTTATAATACAGTGTTAACATCAGACCTGGCATCAGAAATACAAGTGGAACAGATCCATTTTTCCCAAGGTGTTCCTTTTCCCAGTATGTTTGTAGAAGATATTGATAAAAAGAAGAGATTGATAATTGAGGGGTCAAAAATCAAAGTTTTTTTTTTTTCCTCAGGTAAATGAATTAGGTGTTATTTATTCATTCTCTGAAAATATCAAAACATTTTTTACAACTTAAGTTTCTGAAGTGTACAGTATAGACTGTTTAAATCTACTCTTAACATCAGATACTTCAGCTTCCCAGTTATAATATATCCTACTGATTATTTTAAAATCTGGCTCATGTATTATAACAAAGAGATAATAGTTGAGTAGTTAACTTTGCCTTAACTCTTCTTTTACACAGAGCCTTACTTAGAAGGTTTTAAATATATTCTAACCACAAATCTTATGGTCAGAATATATAGTGTATGTTGGGATAGGAAAACTTATCGGCAGCCTTAGGATAATTTTATGTTGCTTCTGTGATGAACAGCTTCTATTCCTCCCTTCCTTCACTGTACCTCCAACTTCTCATTTTATACCCAGGGCATCTGAAAACCAGACACGACATTTAAACATATAAAGGCCTAAAGGAATAAAGAACAAGCTGAAGAGTGGCCAGTTGATTTATTAGCGTTTCAAAGAGCAAGGATATAAAGACCCTAACACTCTGAAGCCCAGAACGGAAATGACTGGTAAGTATAACATCTCAACCCTTCAGAACCTACTATCTACTGAACCCTTCTAATACAATTTTTCTTTACTTCTTCCCACCCATTCTCCCTCCCTTGATTTCATTAAAAACCCTCCAAGGGTTCTTAATTCCTTACAGTATAAACTTCAAACTTCTTGGCTCAGTACGTAAAGGCCTCTACTGCTCTTCTCCTGCCTGTCCCAGGACAGCACGAATAGCTAACAAAGGGCTTGTAGATGTCTATGTCCCATATGTTGTCACAACTGCAAATTGTTCCCATACCCTAAACTGCCCTTCCCACATTTCTGCATGTGTCCAAGTCATATTCATCCCTCAGGACTCAGTTTAAGAAGCCTTCAGGAATATTCTTTAAATTTCTGGGCTGGATGAAGTATCTCTTCTCTGTGTTCCCCTCTGCAGAAAATAGAGTCAACCCTGTTCTTGAACCTATCACTGGCCAAATGCTTAGCACCTTGGAGGTATACTAGAATTTGTACTCCACATGGACAGGGAATTTGTTTCATTCACTTTGTTGTATCTCTAGTGGCTTAGAGCAAGACCTGGCACATAGTAACTATGTGTCAAGTGAATGATTAAAAGGTTGAATAGATAAATGTTTATTGAACAGGCCTTTCTATTTCTCTTGACTCTATGAATTAAAATAATGGGGCAAAGAAAAGATCCTGTCTACCTCTGTACTCAGATTCTCCTGGGATTATTATATTTAGGTTTTATGTACTTAGAAAACCAGGTTGGGCAATTTCTACCTCCCTTCCTGGAATTGAGTCCATTTCAATCTCCGTTTCCACAGAACTCTCCTGGAAGTAGTTTTCCCTGCATGTCTCTTCAGTGAATATACAACTAATTTCTAAACCCCGAGGCTACCCCTGCTACTGTTGTTGTTGTTGTTGTTATGTGCCATTGAGTTGGCCCCGACTCATAGCGACCCCTCCTTGGGTAGGTGAAAATTATCAGACTGCCTAGTGGTCTTAGAATTTGGAGTCCAGACTGATTCAAAGCATATATTTTTTTGGAGTCTGGGTGTAACAGTAAGGTACTTTTTGAGGTTGTCACAAGCTGTTGGTAACAGGAAAGCTAAAGTTCCATTTATTACCAGCCCCGTACTCTGCAATTTTTCACCATTATCATTTCTCTGGGTATTTAAACAGGAACATTTCCTGGCTTGGGCAGAAAAAAAAAAACTATAAATATTCAATTCGAGCCACCGAAACCTCATTAGGAATGCTTTAGGTCTATGTGAGTCACTGTTAGCAAATATATAATTTTTAATGGTAGAAAAATATACACCTTAACAGAGCTTTGGAAAAGAAATGATGTAGAATACAGAATTCATATGTTTGGGGGAATGGGAGAGAGATTTCTAAGTTCTTGTAGACATTTATAGAGTTTGCCTTTATTAGACAACAGACGTTAACAAGTTAATGGCAATAAAGAGATGTAAAACTGGAGTTAAAACTGGAATGTGGAGTGGGTGGACAGAGATGACCAGGGAGGCTCACTTGTTCTCTGAGCTGATTCACTTTCTCCTGGAGAAGTCTTTTTACCAGTTTCAGTTTCTGTTCAACTTCCATCATTCGTTCCTCCATGACCGTTACCATTTGTTCCTGGTATCCCTGCAAAGAAGAAAAATGTGTATTATCATTTGAAACTCATGCCATACTGAAAAGAAAAGTGTATTTTCCCCACAAGATGCCTATAGGAAGGGCAGCAAATGCTCTGGCTTGTAACAGGAAGAATGGATTTCTAATGAAATGGGAGTTTTACTTGCACATTTTAGAAAAGTAATCCTATCAGAGAAAAAAGCAAAGGCAAAAACAAAACAAAAAGAGAATCTTACCTGTGTTACCATCATCCCCTGAGAGAAAACAAAATTCTTAAAACCTGTAATTTAATACCTACTTGTACTTCTAGTAAAATGGGTATCCAAAGTAAATAAAAAGATGGTTTTCCTTCATCCATCTGTGATTTGAGTCTTTTTAATAGTGTGGGCTTCTCAACAATGAAACAAAAACAGAGTTTTCACAATTACCTAATATGCCCAATCAGCTTCAATATGCGTGTCTGTTTTTCCTTTGAAATGGCTGATTACTGTAACAATGTTTGTGTTTTTTTCTTAATAATAATCAGCCTCTTCCTGCCAGTTATTCTAGTCATCTATTTCCCAATTTGACTTGTCCATGTGAAGCAAACATCTGGCTTGGGTTTATCATCAGAACGGATTTAAAATTAAGGATCTTCTCCCTGCAAACAGCTTCTAAATAAAACAATAGGACAGGAAAGGAACCCCAGCCTTTCCTTCCTCCTTTCCTCACACAACAGTGATGGATTAAGGAGTACATGCTTCTCAGAAGGCAGACAGACCTAGAGAGAGCTTAGACTAGAATTGACTATTCTTTCCCTCTCCCACAAATCTACCAAAATGTCCACACAAGGAATTCCAGATTTCAAAAGGTTCTTCAAAGGTTTAAACAAAGTTCAGAAGTTAATGGCTGATAGCATAACTTGCCTTTAAAATATTCTTAAAAAGTTAGCCTTTAAAAAGCAAGCAGAATGGTCATACGTAAGTTGAAAGTCAACATATTTGGATGTTAAACAGTAACAATCATAAAGAACAAAATCATAACTAATTTGAATATGAAAAGTTTAGTAGTCACAAATCTAAGGCAGAAAGTAAATGTCAAGAAGTCAGGCCTTGAGACCATCTAGCTTTTTAAAAAGCCCTGTATTTAAAAAAATACAATAGTGTTTAGAGTTTAGGAATAAATAGAAAGTACCCAATTTCCACTTGCCTAAATAAACAAAACAAAACAAATATAAAATATAATAACAAATAATGAATTCAAAGAACATGGAATATGGCCAAAGAGTGGGAGGAAGAGGAAGAACAAAAGCAGGCATATATTTAAAATTTATTTTATTGTTTCATCAAAATTTTCCTTTTTCCTGTCAAAAAGTTTTATACAACTTATACAAAACAGTATAAATAGTCCTGATTTTCAAATTCCATATACAAAAGTAGGTCCTTTTGTTAAAAATAGTTACAACATATGGAATGAGAAAATATATAGAATACATCATTTCAAGAATTTCAAATTCACACTCTTTAAATGGCATAAATAAAATGATTTGTAACAAGCTGGTATTTGTGAATTTGATTCACAAAATCTGTCATTTCTACATAAATAAATAAGAGACATAATACTGTGAGGCTTAACAATAATAATAGTAAGAGTAAAATAATTTAAAAGAGCACTTGATTCCAAAACATTTCAGCTTATGTCTCTGTGTTTGTGTGGTGTGTGGATGTGTGCATCTGAGTATCTGCCATGGTAAGAAATGCCATCAATAGCAGCCCAGTTTTCACAGGTGCCCAATCCTTCTGTAGGAATCTGCATGCACTGCTCGCTGCTCCGGTAGCAAGGCCTAGAGAAAGAAGGCAAGTGGTACACTTCACCCTGATGTCCAGATTTTACTTTCTGGGGAAGTCTAAATTCACATTTATAATGCAAACAGTCTTTAAATGCACATACGTTAACACGACATAAGCAAGCAGAGCAATGCAAAGGCAGAAGAAATCACATCACTCCACACACACAGACAACGTGCAGACTCTAATAATATTCTGTGATCTTAAAATTTGTGTCATCTCAGTGGATGGAAACTGATGAGCCTACAGGTGGCATTCTACAGAGCAATATGTAGTCCACCTTGTCACCTGGCTGGAGGATTGAAAAGTTTTTGTCACTCTAACCCTGAAGTAATTGGAGTAAAATCACCCTGAAAAAGGATGATTATGAATATAGACAAAGTAAGAGGATATTTTTTATTGTTAAAAATTGGTAGGTGGCCTGGGAAGAAAATGCTTTGAGATCCCTAGTGTGCATGACCGAGCCAAGAGCAGAATCCTAGCTAAATCATTTGATTTGGGATATCCATTAATAACTGAGGTCAAGGTTTTATATTTCAATTGTATAATGAAGAACCATCCCTCCAATGCCCTACCATCACAATTTTAATTCAATAATTTAATTTTAATATTTGGAAATTGAAATGGTATAGAAAACTCCCCAAAACATGCATTTTAAAACACATAAGACAGTTTTTATTAGACAGAGAGGTACATCCTGACAAAGCATCAATGTTTAGCAATAGGAGAAGACAATGACACACTCCAATGTATAATCATGACGCTAATGTGGCGTCATGATATTTCCAATCGCCTGGTATGCATGTGAGAGCTGGACAATGAATAAGGAAGACCGAAGAAGAGTTGATGCTTTTGAGTTGTGGTGCTGGCGAAGAATGCTGAAAGTACCGTGGACTGCTAAAAGAACTAACAGATCTGTCCTGGAGGAAGTGCAGCCAGAATGCTCCTTGGAAGCAAGAATGGCCAGACTTGGTCTCACCTATTTTGGTCATGTTGTAAGAAGGGACCATTCCCTGGAGAAGGATGTCATGCTTGGTAGGGTGGAGGGTCGACGAAAGAGGGGGAGGCCTTCAGGGAGATGGATTGATACAGTGGATGCGATGATGGGCTCGAGTATAGCAGGGATTGTGGGGCTGGCGCGGGATCGGGCAGTGTTTCGTTCTGCTGTGCATGGGGTCGCTATGAGTCGGAAACGACTCGACGGCACTTAACAACAACAACAACAACAATGTGGCTTTCTGAAGCCACTTTGTAGGGATTTAGGAAAAGAAAGTTGGGAAATTCCTTATCAAATGTTTACTGACAGGCAAGGTATTTGGAAGCAGGAGAAGACCATTCAAACCAGAAAAAATTTAGAATTTATACAGAATTTAATTTCCAAATTAATTTATTTAGAATTAAAAAAACTAGTTAAGAACTCATAAAAAGTACTTTTTATTTCTTATTCTAAATAAATGGGCAAGTCTAAGGAGTTATGAGACTTCTGAAAAAGCATGATTATGAACACAGTACAAAAGAGAAATAACAATGTGAAAAAGTAGGTAAGACGAGCCTGTGTCTGGTAGTGAGCTGGGATAATGCTAATTCAATGAGAAGGGAAAGAAGATCTTTATTTTCTTAAAAATAGTTTTCAAGCTAGATCATTTCTAAAAAATTAAGTTAACCTATGCCAACTAAAAAATTTCCCCAATTACACATTCCCCTTTACTGAAAAGTTGTGAAAAGTCCCTACTTGTGAATTCACGGAACTGAGCAGGCTACTCCCAGCTGCTATAGGAAAACCCAGGACGTTATTAGTTGTGCATATCCTGGGTTCCCACTTGAATTTTGTATCAGTTTTGGTATCAGACAATAACGATGGGCAAACTGTGCACCATACTCAAGGGACCCTGCTCCTTCTTACCCTATTTCCACAAGGGTAAAGGAGATCCCGGACACCTAATTACCCAGCTTAGAAGTGGACAGCTTAAAAGTAGCACTGCAGTTCTGTGGCTCTCTAATACAGGCAAAGTGTAACTCTCTTACAAGATATTTAGGTCCTCACTTTTGAACTTGCAAACATTAGAAAAAAATTAGGCAACTCATCAGTTTGAAGTTTATTAAAAAAAAAGAAAAAGAAAGTTTCATACCTGTGGCGTGTTGGTTTCGGAGGTCCTGTCCTCAAGTTCCTCCTGCAGGTGCTGGTTGATCCTTTCTGCCTGCAGCAGCTGGTGCTGAAACTGCAGAAACTGCTCCCTGGGCACCATCGGATAGGCTTGCTGCTGGAGCAGCTGCAGATCCCAAGCATGAGGGGATGGGCTAGGCATCACAGTGGACCTCAGGTGCTGCATCTGAAGGGCAGGGACAAAGGGCATGTTTAATACCACAGCTGCCCCTGAAGGTGTAAAGCAGGGAGTAATGAAGTCTATGAATTCATTACTGGCTTCTAATATCCACTGATAGCTGGGAAATTGGCATATCTGAGCTTGATTCAGATGTAAATGGAAGAGTCATTTAGCTTAGGAGACAGTATAATTAATCAACAAGCAGGCCTTCTTAATAGTATTAGATTTTTAAAATTTGTGCTTCCTCATTCTCAAGTGACTATAAGGGCATGAGGTACATGATATACATGTTATTGTTAAATGCCATTAAGTTGATTCTGACCCATAGTGACCCGTGTGACAGAGTAGAACTGCTCCATAGGGTCATCCAGGCTACAAAATTTATGGGAGCTGACAGCCAGGTCTTTTCTCCCATGGAGCCACTGGATGGATTCAAATCATTAACCTTTTGGTTAGCAGCCAAGTGCTCAACCATTGTACTGCCAAGGCTCCTTCACAACATACACGATACATCTGAATTCTACTTCATTTTCTCTTACACTAGACCAAAATTTAATTAGATTATTGCTCTAGTTGACATAGGAAAATATGGAGAGAAATGTTTAATGCCTATGTATTTTCCAAATCCAAGTCTACAATTTTTTTTTCAAAGAATCTTATCTTAGATCTAAAAATATTTTAACCTACCTTAGTTTATCAATGTGTAGCTATAACCTTAAATTAAGTAGCACAGTAAGACAGGCAATTCTGGCACATAAGGTGATATCCCAGCACATCTGGGAACCAGAGTACACAGAAGTATTTGTTCAAGACAATGAGGAAATGGTGTACATATCAACATGCCAATCCAAGAGGGAAGGAAGGGGAGGACACATTGCTTTTTGGCCTGTGAAAAGCATGCCACCTCTCATCTGCCTACATAATCAGCAGACACATGGCTCAATGGAAGGAATGCAACAAACATGACCAAGTACTAAAGTCAAGAGGAAGCACCCCCAGGCTCATGAGAAGGGGAAAAAGGCCCTTCACAGCAAAACTAAATGTTATCATGAAACTTCAGAGCCATTATCCATTTCCTTAAACTTGAATTTCTGAGGTGGGCATTTATCCATTTTCAAATACTTCTAGCTGTAAATGTAGAAAACCCACCACTTTATTTTCAGGAACAGAGGCTATAGAGAATTATATTCCAGTAATTTTATATTAGAGAGAGAACTTTCTTCATACACAATGCTTTACATACTGAGGAAAATCCTGGCATAAAAGTAAATGGAGATATATTCCAGAGTTAAATAAAAATGAAAATGAATACTGGCTCTTATTGTAACTACTTATTGTTATAGTCAGTAGAAATGATTACATGAACCAGGAGTTTAATGAGATGTATTCATGCTATGAAAGTTCATTGAAAAGAATGTACTACCTTCACACACTATCTCAGGCAGAGAACTGCACCCTTCTCTGCTAGTTCCAACCACTGAGTTCTAGGTACAGGTTAGCCACAGATAAGGAAAACAAACAAAAGAAATTACAGGAGTTAAAAAAAAAAGAGGAAGAAAAAGAGAAGGAATGCTACCAGTTGAGTATATTACATATATGAATACATAGGCTCTAGTCAGTAAGAGCTGAAGAAGGACCAACATTTACATTTCTTTGCATATCAAGTCTGTAGACAAAAATGTTTTATAGCTCCAATTATGAAACTGCTTCCTCACCTACTGTAATTTGGTTGGTTTGTGAGTTTGCCACCTTTATTCCAAGTTCCCAATACAACTGTTTAGAAGATTCTGGGTCTGGTATGAAATGGATCTGCTATTAGATCCCTTGGTACTTGGAGGTGTGGAATATAAGCTATAAGACATTTTTGTTGTTCTCTTATCTGAGTAGTTTGGTGACAGAGGTGTACAAGCAGGCTTGAGACCTGCTGATACAGTCTATAAACCATTTTTTTTGAATGTTCAAATGAATTATTTATAGAACATTACCTCTTATATCGTTGAAAAAGCCCTGACGTGGGAGTCAAACTCTAACTCTTCTACTTTCGAGTCCCAGCTACACTCTGAACTGGTATGTAAGAATGAGGAGAGACCCTTTTGCTTAGGGAGCACATACATCAGACTAGAATCACCTGGAAAGCTTTTCTCAAATCCTCTACCTCCCAAGATTCTCATGTCAGAACATCTCCCTGCCTATCTGCTGCTTCTCACCCCAACCAGATGAGAATTCCTGTCAGAATAAGAATAGACCTAACCCTCAGGTGAGTGTGGGCACAAAAAAATGGTGTGAAAATCACTTTAATTTCCCAAATTAGCCTAAACTATAGATACCATAACATACGCTAAAAAATCCAATGTCTATAAATCTATATAGACTTAATGGCTCAGTCTTATTTCCTAATGTAAATTCCATTAAAGTAGATGGTGTGTGCTGTTCTTTTTAGTGTTCAAATGGAACAGTCATGCTTTTCCCTTAGTTATGTAGTTCCAGTGCCAAGAACACTCAATTTCTCTCATCCATTAGCAAATATTTACCACCACATTAGGGAGAAAAATTAGGAGTGGAAATTGCTTATAACAGCTGGCAATGTAAAGTGAGGCTGGAGAGACAGGGCTTCTGAGGCCAGCTCGAGCAGGTGGGAGAAAAACTGGCCTGTTGTCAGAGCATTTGGAGAGGATCGAATAGTGATTAAGTATATACCCTGTTACTTTTCAATTTGGACTAGACACTGTTGGGCTTGGCTTCAGACATCTTATTCATTAAAGTATGTAATTACTTCATCAGAAAAGCACATCTACATCTAAACACAGCTCACAGCTCAAGGCTTTGGACACATTTATTATACGCTGCCAGAAAAAGGAAAAAATTGTTTGAATTTCACTATTTATCATTTTCCTAATATCCCCCTTAGTGGATAAATCAGAGAGCTTAAAATTGATAGACATTTCAGTGGTCATTTAAATATCAATAGAATATGGTTGTCCATATTTCACATTTAAAACCAAACATCTATTTAAAGTTACCTTTGCATGTGTCCAGCTTCATAAGAGAAAATACAAATCTCTCTCTTCCTTTCTATAATCCTGGCTTGAAAATATACACATATGTAATATTTTTTAAGAGCACAAAAAGACATTTCCTACCTGTGTTTCTCTACCTTACATAAATTTCACAGTTCACTAAATGCTGGGTTATTAATTGACTATTTTCATCTATCTAAAGCAAAGTATCTCAATTAAATTTTTATTTATTAATGATGATTTATACATAAGTTGTTTTATATCCTATAATTGTACTCAGTTTTCACAAAACAATCTAGATTATAAACCCCATGTCCAAGCTGACAAGTATTACATACCCATTTTATATTTATCAGATATGACTCTCAAAAGGCGGTTCTGAGTTATAAACATAGTAATGTACAATGGCAGCACTTTTAAACTTTCAAATGCTAATGCTTCCAAATTCCTTGCCTGAACTTCCTAATTTAAGAGGTTGTTAGAGAGCAATGATTATCTCTAAAAGGTTACAATATAGGAGGCAGCAGGACACTGTTAAAATCACAGAGGTGGTGAGAGAGCTTTGGGCCCCTTGGCTGGTGTTAGACTGAGTCCCTGCCACCTGAATTTGCTTGGGGTATCTAAAAACCAAACCAAACCCACTGCCATGGATTCCAACCTTATAGGACAGAGTAGAACTGCCCCACAGGGTTTCCAAGGCTGTAAATATTTATAGAAGCAGACTGCCTCATTTTTCTCCTGAGAAGCAGATTTAAACTGCCAATCTTCTGGTTAGCAGCCAAATGCCTTGACTACCACACCACCAGAGCTCCTTACTTAAAACATAGGCCTTTGTATTTTAGAATAATCAACATTCTTCCTTTCTCTGTAAATCAGTATGGATTCCTATGACTGTATGATTAAGCAAAAACATCTATCAATCAAACTTGGTAAAACAGACCAAAGAATGCAGCTTGGCAATGTACTTAGATTTTCACAACAGGAATTCAATGCTGTGTCTAGTCTCCTCCAACAAATGGCTCATTCATGGATTAAAATATTCTTAATAGCTAAGGCCATTTGCTTAAAAACTTACCTCCATTAGCTGCTCATCCAGTTTTACTTGTTTCTTTTTCAGGCCTTCACTTTCCAAATGAATTGTTTCTAATTCTCGTTCAAGGGAATTCAGCTGACTGACCTGTTAGAAAACAAAAATATTTTCTTAAAAACCAACCAAACCAACTGAGTTGCTCTACTATACGTCAGCAAATTTGTGTTATCAGAAATCCTAACTCTTGGAGGTAAAAAAGTTAATTCAGTGATGGAAAACAAAAAGCAATAGAATTTACAGCAACGCTTACATTTAATTCCACCTTCACCCACTGCCATCGAGTTGATTCCAGCTCATGGTGTTCCTATGTGTTTCAGAGCAGAACTGTGCGCATGGAGTTTTCAGGACTGTGACCTGTCAGAATAGATGGCCATGCCTTTCTTCTGAGGTGCTTCTGGGTGGATTTGAACTGCCAACTTTTCAGTTAGTAGCCCAGCACTTAACTATTTGCATCACCCAGGACCCCTTACGTTCAAATACTCTAGTTTTAATCACCATGATTCCTCATATAGGACAGATTCCTTAAGGCAGCTGGCTTTCACACTTTGATGCCACTCACTGTAAGAGACATTTTATATTGCAACCCAGTATATGTATATATACACACACACACACGTGTACCCATGTGCATATATGTATATTCAGTTATAAGTATATATTACTCAAAGAGAAGTTTTATGAGCTAATACTTATCTTTACTATAAGCCATGAACTCTGATATTTTCTAGTTAATAAAAAATAAATGCTACTTGTATTTCACTGAATTGATTTCATGGTACACTACTATGAATCTGACATGGGAAAAATCTGTCCCAGGGAAAGGTTAAAAGTTTAAAGGTGAGAATCATAAAACTTGATTTATATAATTCATTTCTCAATTTGAAGATGAAATTTGAAGATTTTATAAGTATCCATTTTGAGGACTGTCTTCACTATAACAAGCATCAAATGAGCTAGAGGAGGCTGGGATTAGAATATTGCTAAGTGGAAAATATGACGTTATTCTAGAATGCTGATATGTGCCTCTATCAAAGTAAGAACCCCAATGAAAGTAATAAGAATTGTTAAACAGAAATGTAATCTTTCCTGGTATATGTGAAATTCATGCTATCTTTGAATCTATGGTAAGACATTTCCCTTGGTGAGTAGCTAGATGAAATCCACTCTCTTTCTGAAGAGTTCACTTGATTGTACCTGAAATTAAATGGCATTTCAGTGTTAGAGTACAACCAGCCTTCTTACAGCCTATGGCCACAATAACTTCCCCAAATTTTATTTTTAAATAATATTTATGAATGTTTAAATTACAGAAATAATGTTGTTCACCATTCTTCCCGGGAGCTCTGGTAGCGTAGTGCCTAAGGCACTTGACTGCTAACCAGAAGGCTGGTGGTTCATACCCACCAGCCACTCCTCAACAGGAAGGCTGAGCAATCTACTTCCATAGTGATACTGCCTCGGAAACCCAAGGACAGGTCATTATGAGTCAGGTTTGACTTGACAGCATATAAAAACAACAATAACAACACCATTCTTCCCAGAAAAACAAATTATGGTAGTTACGGTTGTGCGCCAACTTGGCTGGGCTGTGATTTGGAGTGCTTGGCAGCTGGATGTAGTTACTCCCCATGATAAGATTGTAATCATCTCCATGGTAGAATCTGCTATAAGCAGGTCAGCAGTTGCTTTCGGGGTGTGGTCTGCTTCCAGTATATGTGGAGAAGCTCTGAGGCGGGCCACTAGTTTTCGGGCACATTTTGGCCTGCTGTATTGTCTGCTTATCTTGGGATTGTGTCATTTTACCTGCTGATCTTGGGTTCATCAGCCGCAGCAGCCTGCAGCTGCCTGAGTTAGAAGATGCCTCCAGCTCCAGTGGGCATGGAATAAGAGGCAGAGCTGAAGCCCAAGGTTGAGGGGCCTTCTACTAGCTCCTAGAGCTGGCACTTTGAGTTTGGAATTCTAGCTTCCTAAACTGTAAGAGAATAAATTCCTGTTTGTTAAAGCCATGCATTTGTGGTGTTTCTGTTATAGCACCTCTAGAGAATCAAAACACAAACCATAAATTTAATTGGCCAAATCTGTCAATTCTTGAAGACTATCCTTTTGAATTTCAAGATAATGTCTAGGTTAACACAATTCTAATCTGGTTGGGTCTAAAAAAGGACAAGACAGGGAAGAAAGGTCTTCTGAATCTTATACTTGACCAAACCTCTAGAGCTCAATAGTATGATGTGGCTGTCAAGAAAACAGACATAGACCGTCTGTCTAGGCACTTTTGCTTTGACAAGAGTATAACTTTTACAGAGTGAATGAGGTGACAGTCTCTCCACTATATATTACATAGTTCACACCCGGACAACCTCACTGAGAAGTTGAGTTTTAGTTTTTTCAAAAAAAGAAAGAAAGAAATGTAACAATAGTAACTCACAGAGTAACACAGGCCTAGGATTCTCATGGGACAAAAACCCAAGGAAGGGTCGCTATGAGTCGGGTCCGACTCAACGGCACATAACAACAACAAACAGAAATTTGACCATGTGGCAGTCAGCTTCCAAGATTCCCACCTCCTGATATTCACACCCTGTGTAGTCCCTTCCCACATTATACCAAGGTTAGTCTGTGTGACCAATAGATATAGAAGTGATAGTACGCCATTTCCAAGATTAGGTGATCAGTAGGCACTACAGCTTTCAGGTTGGTCTTTTGTTCTCAGCTCGTCTCTTTCTCATCACCCACTCTGGGGGAAGCCAGCTGGCATATCCTGAGGAGAAGTCCACGTGGTGAGGAACTGAGGCCACTGGCACTCAGCCTGCAAAGAATTGAAACCTCTTGCTAACAGCTAAATGAGTGAGTTTGAGTGCAATCTTCCAGCCCCCACGAAGCCTTCAGACAACTGCAACCCTGACTGACACCTGACTGCAACTTCATGAGACTCCTGAGTTAGAACCACTCACCTAAGCTGCTCAAGTTCCAGATTCATATTACAACTGAAGTAATAAATATTTGTTGTTTTAAGTCACTAAATTTTAGATAAATTTCTTATGCATTAATGGAAAATTAATATAGATCATATTAAGATATTCCTAACATTAAGGCAATATATATTTTACTATCTTATAAAGAAGAAGACATGGTGGCACAGTGGTTATGTGTTCTGTGGTTCAAACCCACCAGTTCCTCCATGGGAGAAAGATGTGAAAGTTGGCTTCTGTAAAGATTTACAGCCTTGAAAACCCTTTGGGGCAGTTCTACTCTGTGCTAAGGATTGCTGTGAATCGGAATCGACTTGATAGCAGTGAGTTGTTTTTAGTATCTTATGAAGGCTTGTAATACTAATGATGATTCAAAAACTCCACATTAAAAAAAAAGATCTTTATGAAACCATTACTCAATCAAAAGAACACAAATACTGCTTTAACAAGATAGGAAATGCATAGAGAGATATAATGAAGAACCAAAACATGTCACAATCTTCACTTGCTTAGAAGCACACATGGAAAGAAATACACACTTAAGGACACATGATAGTCAGAACATAGGAACATAGTAAACGCTCAAAGCCCACCTTCCTATTAGGAGATTGTTCTTTCTGAAACTGTTCACACTCTCTCTTTAAGCTCAACTTCTCCTGTTCTGTAGGTTTCACAGTACTTGGTGGGTTTAGATGTTTTTGGTGCCTGTGGGTAAGAAGGCTAGATTCCAGTTGACGAACCTAACAAGAACAAATGTAAAAAAGAAGAAATGCCGATTATAATCATCGAGCCAAGAAAAAAAAACCCAGCAAACCTAAGAAAAAAAATTATTTAGCACTTGAGTTCTGTTGTATTCTGTTCTGTTCTTTTTATTCCAGCTAAAGCTGCCAACTCTTCTTTTTACTTATTATTGAAATATAATTCATGTACAGTGAAATACACAAAACTAAAGTGACATGTGTCAATGCATTTTTTTTTTTTAAGTGTTCCCTCTTCTCCCCTCCCTCCCCTGGTAATCAACAAAGAAAGTTTCCTTTCATATATAAACCTTTCCTTGACTTTTTATGATAACAGACTAATACAATATTTGTCCTTCTGTGATTGACTTATTTCATTAAGCATAATGTCCTCCAAGTTCATCCATGTTATATGGTGTTTTGCATATTCTACATTATTCTTTAGTGTTGTATAGTATTGCATTGTGTGTATGTATCATAGTGTGGTTATTCATTCTTCTGTTGATGGGCACCTAGGTTGTTTCCATCTTTTGTTATTGTAAATAGTGCTGTGATGAACATGGGTATCCATATATCTGTTCTCGTCCTGGCTCTCACTTTAGGATATATACCTAGTAATGGGATTGCTGGGTCAAATGGTATTTCTAATTCTACCTTTTTAAGGAATCAACATACTGCTTTTACACAGTGGTTGTATCATCTTACAGTTCCACCCACAGTGTATGAAAGTCCCAATCTCTCCAAACCCTCACCAGCATTTGTTATTTTCTGTCTTATTGAACTTTGCCATTGGTGCAGGGCTGAGACAATATCTCATTGTTGCTTTGATTTACATCTCTCTGATGGCTAATGATCATGAGTATTTCTTCATGTATTTGCTGGCTCTCTGAATATCCTCCTTAGTGAAGTGTCTATTCATGTCTTCTGTCCATTTTTTAATTGGATTGTTAATCTTTTTGTTGTTGAGGTGTTGGTGTTTTCTATAAATTTTAGAGATAAGTCCCTTGTCAGATATGTCATTGCCAAATATTTTTTTTCCCCAATCTGTAGGTTCTATTTTTACTCTTTTGGTAGTGTAATTATCGACAAGTATCAATTTGTTGCTGTCATTTTGTTATGTGCTTTCTCATTGTATTGCTGATTTCTTTGTTCCATATAATTTTCTGTGCTGAGCTCGTTTTGCTTATAAATTGTATTATCCCTTCCTTCTTTGCTATTGTTTTAGTGTTTGCTAAATATTTGTGCTTGTCTTCTTTTTTATTGTGATGTGAAGGTTTATCATTTTTGTTTGAGGTTACCCTGTGATTTATAATTTCTTCCCAAGTTTAGAACAGTCCATTCTATCTTGTAGTTGTCTTGACTTCCCTACCATTTAGAAGGTCTGTAACTACATAATTTTTCTCATCTTTTTGGTTTGCAGTTGTCCTCATTTGCCAATTGGTGTCTCTGGTTCCCTGTTTACAATCTTGTAGGCTTATTTACTTTGGATAGTTCCATAGCTGGGTTGGTTTCTGGGTTATGTCATCATGTGTGTTAATGGTCAGTTGTTGTTGGCTGTTGTTGGTTCTCTGTCCAAAGGACTCCCTTCAGCATCTCTTGTAAGGTTGCTCAGGTTTTAAAAAATTCCCTTAATTTCTGCTTATCTGGAAATGTCCTAATTTCACCAACATATCTGAGGAACAATTTTGCCTGTAATTCTTGGTTGGAAATGTTTTTCTTTCTGGGTTTTATATATACCATCCCATTGTCTTCTCACCTGCATGGTTTCTGCCAAGAAATCCAACCTTAGTCTTACTGGTTGCCCCTTGTAGGTAACTTTTCACTTTTCCCGTAAAGCTTTCTGGACTCTGTCTTTGATTTGGTGAGTTTGATGATGATATGTCTTGGTGATTTTCTTTTGGGATCTATCCTGTTTGGGGTTCACTGGACTTCTTGAATGGATATATTCTCATCTTTCATCATACCAGGGAAATTCTCTTCCAAGAAATCTTTGATCATTTTCTCTGCGGTTTTATTTGTGTTTTCCTGTTCTGGAATTCCAATCACATGTAGGTTATTCCTTTTGATGGTATCCCACATAATCCTTAGGCTTTCTTCATTTTGTTTTGATCTTTTTTCTGATGGATCCCTTTCCAAAGAACTATTGAGGTATTTGTCTTCAATCTCACTAATTCTGTCTTCCATTGATTCAATTCTACTCCTTTGTCCATTCAATGTGTTATCTATTTCTGAAAGTGTGGTATTAATTTTCTGGATTTCTATCTGTAGATTTTGTATCATTTCTAATTTTTCACTTGTTTTGTCATTTTGTTCTTGTATTATCTTTCGAGATTATTCTAGAGTTTTCCTCAAGTTTGTCAGTGTTTTCCTTGATCTGTCTTTCAGTCTGTTGAAGGTACCTAAATATAATTCTTCTGAATTCTTTATCAGGGAGTTTCAATGCTGCTTCTTCCTCATGGATGTGTTCTGGGTCTGTATCCTGGTCCCTTGTTTCTCTTGCTTCTTTGTGTGAACAGTGATGGTCTGTTGTTGTCTCTGAGACTCTGTGACATTTTTGTGTTTATATTTAGTTGGTGATTGTATGTTGGAACGACTTGCCCACGAGTTTTGTTTTCTTTGGATGTTATCTATATAAGCAGGGTACTGTGCTCTTCTATTTGCTAGTTGGCAGCACTTATACACTCACCACCTGTCTCCTTTCCCATTGTCTGCCTCCCATATGTCCCTAGTGTCCTTGGCAAACGGAGCCTATTCTTAGGTCCCTGGAATCCGAATGAGAATGCTTCCACTTTAAATATCAAAATGTCCAACATTTATAAACATTCAAAATGGGTGCACCCTCGGTAACTTTAAATATCCAATATGGCCACCACTTGTAAACAATCAAAATGGTTGTGCCCTCTGGACAGCCAAAAGTCCACAGTTCAGGTTGTCTCCCTCTTTGCTGTTACCCTTCCTAGTCATAGGCCACCAGCACAGTTGTCCCTGTAGCCCTTGGCAACCAGGGCTCTTTAGGTCAATTCTCAGGTCCTAAAACCACTTGGAAACATTCAGGCTGTTGAAGTTGTCAGAGTAGCTGACAGCCTGCAGATCCATCCATCTCCATACTCACTGATGTACAGAGACATCATGTACTGATGATGATATGTCTTAGTGATTTTCTTTTGGGATCTATCTTGTTTGGAGTTCATTGGACTTCTTGAATGGATATATTCTCATCTTTCATCATACCAGAGAAATTCTCTTCCAAGAAATCTTCAACAGTTTTTTCTGTGGTTTTATTTGTGTCTTCCTGTTCTAGTTTTTCCACTCAACTCATAGCGACCTCCCTTGGGTTTCTGGAGCAGTAAATCTTTATGGAAGTAGACTGCCCAGTCTTGCTTCCATGGAGTGCCTGGTGGGTTTGAACCACCAACCTTCTGGTTAGCAGTCAGATGCCTCAGGCACTGTGCTACCAGAGCCCAGGTTTTTCTATTACTTGGTGCCTAATCTACTTCTGTATATTTCCTTTCAAAGCTCAGGGCTCCAGAATTATCATCTGTATCTCTGTCAGTTGGTTTCTCTTTTCTCTGTTGAAGAGAATATGTGTAGCTTGTCTGCCTATTCCACCATCTTACCAGAACTTCCCTAAATCTGCCAACTCTGGAAGCTTACCCTTCTGGGTTTCAAAAGATCTTTCCTAGGTAAACACATTTCTAATCTGGTTGGGCCTAAATTAAAAATCAAATAAAGCAGTTTTATAGACTTAAACAAACAAAAAGCCCCAATACTGTAAGGACAAGGCAGGGAAAAGGGGTCTTTTGGATTTTACATTTGACCAAACCTCTAGGGCTCAATACTGTGGTGTGACTGCCAAGAAAACAGACACAGTCTGTCTAGGCACTTTCACTTTGATATGAGTTTCACTTTTAGAGAGTGAATGAGGTAGTATTCTCATCTACTCTGTACTGTACTGGACCATTCACACCTGAAATAATGCATTCACATCATCTATGGTCCACAGGGACAGGGGCCATATCTGTCTTATTCACTACTGTTACATCAGTGATGGTAGGGTTTCTGGCACAGAATGGGTGTCCTAAATGAATATTCATGACCCTTCGGAGTTAGGATTCCTCTTAAAAGAGGTGTTTAAGCATGTGATAAACATAGTTGGTCAAGTACCTGGTAGAGGTTAAAGAGAATTTAGGCATCAGTTTAGTGGTTGGAAAAGACAACCTTTGAAGTCCATTCTAACCTTTAAATGCTAGTCTTTAAAAAAGGGCCCCTTTTTCTCATACAAGGAAGCCCTGGGTGGTGCAAATGGTTAACACAATCAGCTGTTAATGACATACTGGAGGTTTGAACTTACCAAAAGGAACCTCAGAGAAAGCCCTGATGATCTACTTCTAAAATCCTGGCCACTGGAAACCCCAGGGAGCACAGTTCTGCCCCGACACACAGGGGGCTGCCGTCAGTTGGCCCTGTCTTGATGGCAACTGGCTTTTGTTGTTTTCATGGTAGGAATTAAACCAGCAAGAGCTGTCTAGTTTTTCTATTTTGTATCGTTAGTCTTGGCAGCTAGCCAATTTAAATGAGAAATATATGGTTAACATAATTTCCATGACTCTCTGTTTTAGACATGAAGCTTAAAATTGCAGGCAGATTTTAATATAGAATTGCTTATACAAGATAAAAGAATACTTTATAAACACATCAGGATGAACCTATATGCATGTCAATGATAAATTACTTCTAAAGTCTGCCATAACAGAATACTCAAATCCATATCCTAGAACTATTTCAGTCATATCAAACACCCATTTTCAAATCAAACAAATCATTTTCAAACCTATGCCACCATGTACAGTTTCCAAGTTACCTTCTCCCGGGAGTGCGTGAGTTCTGCTTTGGTGTTCTGCACTACAGTTTGAAGTCTCTCATTCTCCTGCCAAAGCAGCTGCTGCTCCTCATTCATCAAATGATCTAGCTTGTCCCAAGACAGCCTTTTCTGCTGGTTATGGAACGCTGATGGATGTGTAGCTATCTCTGGGGCCCTGTTCTTAAGAGAGAATTGTAGAGTTAAGTCTGAAAAACAAGATGATGGGTAACTTCTGCTTTGAGAAAGGTGTCATATTTACCTAATAACAACAATTCTTAGTACCATCCAGGCTTCTCCTTTCTCTTCTAATGGAGTACATGTATGTATAAATAGATATAAATAAAGCAAAATACTTGGAGTTTGCGAAAAACAGGCTTAGAAATTCTCTATTTAAAATAGCCTTTTAGCGGAACAGTCCCAACAAGTTCATTAGCAAAAATGAATAGAACAACTTCCAATTCCATATGGGATCCAAGTGCATACAGATTGGGGCCTCATTCTCAAGGGATTATGTTTTGAACAGAGATAACTACTCTTCTGGTTAACAGAGGACACAAGGGAACTCTGAAATGTCCTGTCACTTTGAAAGCTTTCACAAGTCAAACTCTACTTTCAGTTTCACATATGCAATCATGTCCCTTTTTAGAACCTGAAGAACATATTGTCCATGTAATTGAGGCCTGGATCCAGGAATATACTTTTAAGCTACCAAAATGATTTTTTTGGATCCTGAAATTGCTTAAGGAAATATAAAACAGTAACAACAATATAAGCCTCCTGTCTTTTAAGTCAAAACATAGAAAAGGAAAAAGGTATAATCACTTTCTGAGAAAAATGTCAGCCTGGAAGTAATACTGAAAATAGAAACAACTACTTCAGTAAAAAGAAACCACAGTTTAAAAAATATACATCAAATAACTGCATTATTGACTATTTTCATTGTAGGACAAAATCTTTACATCTATCTCAAGGCTGATCCCCATGACACTGTTACGGACTGATCTGTGGAAAGATGAAGGAGCACTGTGATACACTAAAATGAGACACACTGTCCAGAACATCACGATGATGTGTCAGCCTGCTAACACTTTCACTAGCTCCTCCTGGACTTTCTGGGGTCATTGTACTAGTCCATCTGGTAACAAGATTACCTCCTGCCACAGTTTTCAGCAGAAGTTTTATATTTTTGCAAACTTTGTATGTTTATGCATGTTCCTAGAATGATTTCTTGCAATGTTTTCCTTGACTTTTAATTTGTTAGGGTTACATGAATGCTTTATATTCTATCACTTAATTAAGAATGTTTATTTTTCTTACTACAAAACTGAACTCAGCATATCTTCTGACTCTCTCAGTATAAAAACTACCTTGCCACTATGGTTCCATTCAGAACTTTAGAAACAGGCAACCCTAACCTCAAGTGGCAGAGGAGTAGAAAAGTGGTGAACTTGGATGGTATCAACTAGAGCGGCACAAGCCTTCTGGGTGCTAGAAATGTTTTATATTTTGATCTAGGCAATGGTTACACAAATACCTGTACGTGTATACAAATATACACACACATGCATATATACCTATATGTACACATACATATATACATTTATATATACATATATACACACACACACCACAAACCAAACCTAATCCATTGCTGTCAAGTCAATTCCAACTCATAGCAACCCTATAGAACAGAATAGAACTAACCCAGGGTTTCCAAGGCTGTAGATCTTTACATAAGCAGACTGTCACAACATCATTCTTCTGCACAGCAACTGGTGGGTTCTAACTGCCGACCTTTCAGTTTGCAGCCAAACTTAAGTGGTTAGTGTAGCACTTAACCACTGGATCACCAGGGCTCCTCATATATATATGTAAAGTATATATTTATGTATATATACATACACAAATGATCAAGTTATACACTTAAATTTTGTACACTCTATTATATATAAGTTACACCTTAATAAAAAAGAAATTACCTTGTTACCAGCATTCTGAAGTTGCTTACATAAAGATATCACTTCTTGTTTTAAAGTATCCTTTTCCTGCTGAGTCACTCGTAGGTCAGATTTAATCTGGGACATTTGCAGATTCACATTCTGCAGGGTGTCTTCTAAACTTTGGACCTGCATCATGACAACAATCTTACATGGCTACCCAAACCCTCATGGTCTCACCTATAGCATGCCCAAGGATGAATGTGGACAAGAGAATCCCAAGGTCCCCTTTGTTTCTATTTACTACATTCAGCTTTCTTTTCAGTAGCTTGGTGGAAACCTGTGGATATTATGTACATTTATAGAATATTAAATTATATTTAGGACAATGACAAATGATGCCTGAAGTAGGGTATTGTTAATACACTCATCTGATGGATACCAAGTGATATCTTACAGAACCAAAAAGTACCAACCAGCATCACAGAAGGTGGTCTTAATGAATTTTGTAGAAATTATGTTTTAGCCTGTGATGATGGTTTGGAAAGGAATTCTTAGTTGAAAATGAACATGTCTATCTGTAGAACCATACTTCATATAAATGTCAATTAAAAAAAAAAAATTCATCCTAGTTACCCTTCAAGTCTGGAACTGAACTCACTCCTGTGGCTTCCAGCCAAACAAGAGATAGACATTTGGGGTGAACATTTACATCAGGCAGATACACTCCTTAGAGGGATCAATTGTGGGAGAACAGAAGGGCAGTGTTTGCATGGGAAACAGCTCAGGGGGAAGGAGTGCATGGGAGGGAAGGACACAGGGAAGAGGTAACTAAGGGGAGGAAGTGGGAAGAGAGTGTTATACTGTGGGGTAGTCAATGTCATAAAACAAAATGTGTATAGACTGCTGTATGGAAAATGAATTTGCTCTGTAAATGTTCACTCAAATCACAATAATTTTTTTTTTTAATTTCAATTTAAAAAAAGAATGTTCATAGAGATTTTTAACTATAATAGGACATAAACTTGTGTTAGAAAACCATTATTTCTTAATTAGGAACAAGGAGTCATTTTTATATACTTTTCTCAAACTTTCATAAGTATCTAATCTTATAATTATTAAATCTTGAGGGAAATATTGTTCAAGTTATTTCACCATGCTGTAAATGTGTGTCAAATATTATTGTTGTTGTTGTTATGTGCCGTCAAGTCAGACCCACCTCATAGCGACCCTTCCCTGGGTTTCCCAGGCAGTATCACTACGGAAGTAGATTGCCCAACCTTCCTTCTGAGGAGTGGCTGGTGGGTTTGAACCGCCAGCCTTCTGGTTAGCAGTCAAGTGCCTTACACACTATGCTACCAGAGCTCCTGTGTGAAATATTAGTCAAACTGAAAAAGCCATCATTCTGAGCCCTCTTCTATCTTAGACCACTTTCACTTAGAATATTCTTTCTACTATGATTTCTGTTGGAAGAAAGGGAATACTTACCTTGAACATGAAACAAGAATTGTCCACATACCTTTCCCTGTGAGGCCACCAGCTGTGATTTTAAGCTTTCACTCTGGCACTCCCATGACTTCTGTTCCTGCTTCATAGTAGCAATTTTGTGCTCTAAGATACTTGATTTTGCTAACTGTTTCAGGAAGAGAAAAGAAGTAAGAGGGCATTTTTGCAATCATACCTAGCCCCAATTTTTATGCTTCTGCTTGTACTGACAAGACCAAGTGCCATCTAGTAATGTGGAGAGCAGGGCGAGGTAACAGGAAGGAGAGACATTTTCCCGACTCCTTGTTCTATCTCTAATCTTGAGGCATCTCTATTCTTTTGAGATTTCCATTTTCCTTTCTCAATGCTTAGTATTTTGAGGGTTTGAGGTAGTGGGCTTAAAGGCAACTAGAAATCTCAAGAGTGCATCTTCACAGGAGTAATGGAATGCCTGTTAAGGCAGGCAGGAATAAAGTTTCTTTCCTATAGAAAATACCATAGGAAAAAAAGTGCTAGTCTATGAAATAGATGTCAGATTATTAAATACAATAATATTTATATTATATGTAAGCAGCCTAGTGACATATATATATATATATATATATATATATATATACACACACACACACATATACATACATTATACATATATATTAAATAGCTTTGTGACATACTAAAATGAGACAAACTCTGTTATTGTATTTAATAACGTAATTATTTAACAACTAATTCAGATTCCTGTAACAACCACGGCTTCAGGAGATCTAGGGTCACGTAGGGCCAGCTGAAATGCTGTCCCAGGAGACTATGAAACAACTAGGCTAACAGGGGAGGCCACTGCGGCACCGTCTATAGAGAACTGCTCATTATGGTATGCATTATACAATGATGGTAAAAAGTCTTGTTATTTTTACTACCTTTTCCATACAGCTACTTAATTCTTCACTTAGAGCTTCCTTCTCTTTGAGCAGCTTTTCGTTGTAGCTTAGGACACTAGAAATTTTTTGCTGGACGTCAGAGAGATCCGGGCATCTGTGCAGCTGTAAGAAATCAGCGAACAAGCCTTCCCATCAAACCTCAGGCTGTATTTACAAAGAGGTATTTATAGACAGGACATTTGCTTGCCTGCTACTGTTTCTTTATCTGTAGATGCTTCAGATGATATACAAACTCTAGGGGACTATAATTAACTTTAACAAAATGTTCCCTGCTGGCTTGCCCCAGCCTCCCAACTGAAGGCTGAAACATCTGCTCAGATAGATTCAACCAGACATTGTTCTAAAAAATGGTCCTAGCTTTCTGTTTTACCTTCAGGGTAAAATAAATAACACATTGCCATGCTATCATCAACTTGTGCACATATAACACAATATATCTTCCTCATGCTTTTTAAACTAGAAAAATCATTTTCAAAATTCTCAGTCAAGAATATAAAATTGGTATGAACCACATACATACTATGCACTAACACAAGGGCACATTTAAAGATAAAACAATCAGTGTTTTTCAGCTTACTCCATGCTCCTTGCCCTTTGGAAGATGTCTAAATTGACTCGTCCGTAAGATGGTATAAAACATAATGGCTTCCTTTTCCCCTCTTCCTGGAATCAGGCAAACCAAAGACTGTTTCTGTTCCTTTCCAGCATCGTTCTTGGCACTACTGACATACTGGGCTGGATAATTCTTTGTTGTCCAGGCTGTCCTATGCATTGTAAAATGTTAGCACCATTCCTGGCTTTGCCCACCAGCCAACTGCAGCTTGTTAGTTGCTGTGAAGTAGGCTCTGACTCATGGCAACCTTATGCACAAAAGAATGAAATGTTGGCTGGTCCAGTGCAATCCTCATGGTGTGTTTCAGTTCGCTGTTGTGGCTATTTAGTCAATCTGTCTCACTGAGGGTTTCCCTTGTTTTCTCTGACCCTTTACTTTATATCAAACACGATGTCCTTTTCTAGTGATTGGTCATTCCTGATAACATGTCCAAAGTAAGAGAGCTAAAGTCTCACTCCTAAGGAGCAGTCTAGTTGACAACTAGAACCAGCAGCAAAATCCTGCCTCCCACCCTGCTCCAGTTGAGACTCACTGCTTTAAAGAAAATGAGTGTTTCTTACACTTCTTTACCCTTTTCCCGTAGTTTATAAGCTATTTTATGTTCCTTCCTTTCACTTGCCTTTCATATTTTTAATTTATCATTTTGATTTTGTGGTCATCTTTCTACTTCCTATCTTAAGTTTCTTTACACTTAAGTTCTTTTACATTAGGTGCTCTGATGGCATAAAGGTTCAAACATTCAGCTGTTCAACAAAGGGTTGGAGTTTAAATCCACCAGCTGTTCCGTGGGAGAAAGACGAGGCAGTCTGCTTCCTAAAAGATTTACAGCCTTGGAAACACTATGGAGTAGTTCTACTCTGCCCTATAGGGTCACTATAAGTCAGAATTGACTCGATGGCAGTGGGTTTTTTCTTATGAAAAGATAGATTTTAAGGGTTGAATCTTGTCTTCACCTGGCATGTCTTACAAGTCACAAGGGTGTGGGGAAATGGATTTTGAAGTACTTGGGTACTTGTTCAATACAGGACCTTCTCCTTTACCACTACCCTGCAACGCTTAATGCTATTTTGAGAGTCTACAGCCTGGCATGTGACTTCTGTTGATGCTATTTGTGTTTCTTTTCAGTGCAACAGATAAATATGTAAAAATGCTTTGTGAACTAGAAATCATTATACCTACAGAGTGGTACACACTTTCTAGCTCCAAACTGCATAGCAGCAACAATGGGCTGACATTATCCTATCCTTGTGATCCAGGAGTCCAGGTACCTGATGAAACAAGCTCCTACCAAAAACAGGAAAGGTTCACTTCCTTTTCAACCTATTAAGGGCTCTCGTGGTATAGTGGGTAAGGCTTTTGGCTACTAACCAGAAGGTCAGTGGTTCAAACCCACTAGCCACTCTGTGGGAGGAAGATGAGGCAACCTACCTCTGTAAAGATTTACAGCCTTGGAAACCCAATGGGGGTCACTATGAGCTGGAATTGACTTCATGGCAGTGGGTTTGGTTTGGTCTTTTACTTATATCAACACCTCTGTAAAAAATGTGATGAATGATGTTCTAATCATCTTTTTCTACTCCCAACTCTGTCCTTTTTCTTCTGTTGTCTAGCTTCACAAAGTCACAAAGCACACACTTTCCTGTACTATAGATTTGGAACCCATCGCTATCTTCTTAGAGGCTAAAACAGGCAGACTTTTCAAAAGATAAAGGAGAAAAGTATGCTCAAGTTAATCAGGATATACTTGATAATAACAGCTTTGGAATATTTATACATCACAAAAGGATCCTGTAATTTTCACTTCTGGTATATTTATGTGGAACAGATATCTTCTCTAGTTATGGCAGAACAGGTATGACTTTGCACAACAGTAATGAACTTCAAAAGTTCCTTTTAAAGTACCTGTTGTGGACCAGTACTGTATTAGGCATTGTGAGAGACATAAATACTCTGAGAATCTTAAAATCCTATTATGAAAGCAATATCTATATGAGTTAATAATATATCAACATAAACACAACACTAGGTCATACAGACTCTAAAAAGTTTCACATTCTGTATGAAATGTAGAATGTAAAACCAATCTGCTTTGTAAATTTCACCCAACTCACAAGAAAAAGTTGAAAAAAAAGTTTAAGCATTTGGGAAGAATATTTTTATGATTATAGACTGAACAGATGCAAAAAACAGAATTTATAATCTAAGGGTGCCATCATATTAAAGGAATTCTATGGTAGAGCCAATAAATCAAATGAAACAAATTATCCTACTAAGATCATTAGGATTATTCAAAGAAAGATACTCGTAGCCTTTGAAAATTAACTAAGTGTAAAATAGGATGACGTTCAGGATATAATTTTAAGGTGAACCCTCTTTTATACTTATAATCAAACCTTTGCAGAGAACCTAATTAGATGTGTAAACTTGCACACACAAAAAAAACCAATAAAATATTATTGGAAAAACAAAACCCTGTGTTTGAAACTTTAAAATAGGATCCTTAAAGCCAAATTCATAAGTGAGGTGGCATCCCTGATAATGTTCTAGAATTTGCCCATATACCTTGGATAGATGCCTCATACTTGCTATAAGAAAAAGACTTAAGAGGGACCACAGTTTCACCTGTGCCTCAGAGACCTGCGTGTACAGTTATGAAAGTAAAGAGCAAGAAAGTCACTCTCTTTTCAGACAAAAATACGTTATTTTATATAACCTGGCTTAGAGAAAGCAAATCCTACTCTTTCCCATAGGGACATCATAAGTTAGAACTGACTTGATGTCAATCAGTTTGGAAGGAGTCCTTGTGGTGAAGTAGTTAAGCAGCTTGGTTCCTAATTGAAAGGTTGACAGTTTGAACTTACCAGCCACTACACAGAAGAAAGCTGTGGCAGTTTGCTTTTGTACAGATTAACAGCTTTGGGAATCTCATGGGGCAATTCTATTCTGTCCTTTAGGGTTGCTCTGAGTCAGAATTGATTTGATGGCAATGGGTTTTGGGGAAAAAGTAGAAAAACAAATTTCTTAAAAGGAAGTGATTGTGATTCATTTGTAACAACAGAGTTTTAGAGTCTAAAGCATATATGTTGTAAGTTACATGACTAGAACAACATTTAGAGAATTAACAATAAAAACCATAATAAATAGATTTGTTATTTCAAGTCTTCAACTATATCAAGCAAAAAAATTAGTCACAGGGCTTAGTAGAAAGGACTTTTGCTGGCTAGAGAAATCAGACCATTGGGTACATATTGTTCTATGAATGCCCCCTAAACAGCACACAGCCTTACTTGTTTCATTTTCTCCAGTTCATCTTTGAGAAGGAAGTTTTCCTGTTCCACCATATGGGTCTGCATTTTAACTTCAGAAAGTTCTGCCTCCAGGGAAGAGACTAAAGTGGAAGACTAAGGGAAAAATAAAAAGTCAAACAACAGACATATTCATCTAGGCTAGGAAAACTGACCAGGTTCACAAAAGGTGATACTAAGAAAACGTTAATGCAAATTCAGTGGCACACTGTCTTGTGATTGTTCTTATACACAAGGGAATTAACCAAAGCTATCTTTCAAAAGACCTTCCACCTAACTGGCATGAATGTTATTTCTAAGGTAGTTTTTGCAGCTTTCTCCACTGCAAAGTTACTATCTTTCCCTTTGTAGTTAATAAATACCTTGGGGATGATACTTTGAGACTATGCAAAACCTATTTCTCCTCAAACTTTGTCCATTAACTTTACTGTATTGCTAGTGGTTTTTATTTTTACAATAGTTACTATAGTGTTTGTCTAATAATGATTTTCTATTTCTCTTTTTCTTTCCACATTAGTTATAATTCTACTGGAAAAAAGAGCTGTCATTTCACCTTGATTTTATTTAATCCATTTTTATATCGGTACAGATATTTTATTCTATATTTACTTTAAATTTTATATGTATCTTGTTCTATACTATCATTTATTGTCTTGCTCAAATTGTTCCAGCTTTGACCACTGGAAGCTTCTTCAGGTTGGGGCCTAGATCCTTCTGACTTTCTCTACCCTTTTTTTTTTTTTTAAAAGCACCTCCTCACTTTTGCTTACCACGAAATGTTCCAGGTCTTCTATTTTCCCTCCTCCAGCCCTGGACTCAATAACATTTCCAAGAAAACCTGATACCTTCCATAGAAGAATGGTATTTAGAAACCAAGATCTAGGTGCCAGGGGTGCATTCATGATGCCTTACTGTCATTGCTTCCAGGCTTTCTCAGGGGGCATAAACATGTCCTCTAAACTATGCACATGCATACATCTATATTTCTGTATCTATCTATGTGTCTATTAAAAACCACGAATTCATACTGACACCTCAGATTCTAATCCAAGACCACAGGGTTCATTTTAGCCTTCTCTCTACCTCATTTGCAACAAACTTTCTCCAGAAATCTAATTCTTTTTATCTATATTTATTTGTTCAGTTCTAGTAGTTATATGGAAGCTCTGGTAGCATAGTGCCTAAGGCATTTGACTGCTAACCAGAAAGCTAGCGGTTCAAACCCACCAGCCACTCCTCAGAAGGAAGACTGGGCAATCTACTTCTGTAGTGATACTGCCTTGGAAACCCAAGGAGGGGTCACTATGAGTTGGATTTGACTCAACAGCAGTGAGTTTGGTTTTTTTTGGTTTCAGTAGTTATATAAAGTAGTTTCAGAGGTGCTAACTTATACCTCCATGAGAAATCCATTTACTGACTAGAGTATAATATATATGTATTGTTGTTCTCAGTGTCTTTTACCTTTATAATATTCAATCAAGGTACTATTTTCCTAATTGCTTACATTAACTAATTTTCTTCCCCATCCCTTTAGCGTGGTTTATAGTATCCATTTATGAGATACCTAGAGATTTGTATGTTAGTGTTTGAAATCCATTTTGACATTCTCCCAAATCTTGGTTGGTTTTGACTATTTTAGGAGTATGTGAAACACTACTATGGTTCAAAGGAAAAAAAAACAAAAAACAATCTCACTGCCATCAAGTCGGATCTGACTCACAGCAATCCCTCCTTGGGTTTGGTGGTATCACTACAGAAGTAGATTGCCCAACCTTCCTTCTGAGGAGTGGCTGGTGGGTTTGAACCGCCAGCCTTCTGGTTAGCAGAGAAGTGTCACTCCCATCCTCATTTCTTCTATCCCATTCCCAATCCCCTACTTTTTTTCTACTTCTTTCTCATCCACTCCCTAGTAGTAACCAACTCCTTTAGTTTCTGCTTTATCATTCCTGAATTCCTGTGTTCAAATGAGCAAATACATGCATATTTTCTTATGTCCCCTTCTTTTTTACATGGAGGGAAGCATACTACAGGTATATTATACTTTGCCTGATGTCTTGGAAATCACTATACATCAGTTCATAGAGATCATCCTCATTTTCTTTCTTCCTTTAAATAGATATGCTCACTCCATTGTGTGGAGGTACCATACTTTATTCAACCACTCTTCTGTGTATGGGCATCTAGATTATTTCCAATATTTTGCAATTACAAAAAACAGTGCAATGAATAACCTTTGGAATAAGAATTTTCATATTGTTAGAGGTGTTATCTTCAAAGTGATTTCCACAAGAGTGATTGCTGGGTTTGAATGTAAGTTCATATGTAGTTTTCTTAGGTATTGCCACTTTCTTTCCAGAAGGACTGTGTCAGTTTGCATTTCCATCAGGAATATATAGTTGTCTGTTTTTCCCACTGCTCACCAACAGAATGTGTTGTCACATTAAAAATTTTTTCTAGTCTCACAGGTAAAAAATAGCATCTCAGTGCAGTTTTAATCTAATCTAATTATCTTTTTTTTCCCCTGAACTGTTCATGTGTTTTTCCCATTTTTCTACAGGATTTCTGTTCCAATGCCCCTCAATTTATTATTTTTTTTT